AGATTTTTGTTTAAAAAATACATAGGCAGAATCGTTTACTGCTAAGATAACAACAACTTTAACCAACCTTGGAATGGTTTATCTTCGTCATCTTTACTAGCATCCTTCCTGCTTTTTCTCATATCATCACCCAGATAATCAGGCATTTTTTCTAATGCTTAAATCCAGGCTGTAACCAACAATCTGAAAGAAGTTGCCATTCAGTAGACCGCACCAAAAATTAATAAGGCATAAATTCTCCAATTATCACCAGCACTTTTCCCAGTTTTCAACGAATCGTGGGTTACAGTGATTAAAAAAACATACTTTTTTTATTTTTCTTTAACCAATCTGTTCATAGTAAACGGAATTAACAAAGGTGATTTCCTACTATTGTGAAAAGTAATAATTTTCATTCTAGCCCTAACTTTAACCAGTGATCTCACACTGAAATCCAATATACAAACTAACAAAACCAAAATTTAAAAAAATGAAAGAAGTGGTCACTCAAGAAATTCCGTGAAGTCCGAGTTACTATGCAGGTTAGAATAACTTAACAGTCACTTAAGTTAGCAAATAACATCAAAAAAAATAAATAAATAAATAAAAATAAAAAATAAAAAATGAAATTAAATAAATTTACATTAAGCTATTTCATAAAAACCACTGATAAACAGATTGCGCTTTTGTTGACGACGAAAACTAAGAATGGTTTCCTACACCACAAAAACCTTCTCGAAACACTGCCAAAAAATGATGTCTTTCGGAATGTAAATTACCGAAACAGGTCGGATACTGGCTACACAAAATTCGACACTAGCGAATTAAACGAAAAACAAAAAAAAAAAAGACAAAGTTTTCACTTTCATCAACCTTTCAACTGACATACATACACCAGCAAAGAATTTAACTTCGTTATCTTTAGGAACGAAAAAAAATGGAAACTTTAGATTGCTGTTAGTACCAACGGTACATTTATAGCATAAAATGTCGGAAAAGTTGTGGGAGAAGAAAGGATGGCGACAAAAAAACAGTGAATGCGAGGGATGGAAGAAATATTTTCCTTGGTGGATGGACATCAAGATAACCTCCCTCCGCTACAGCAATCACCGCCAATGTTGGCTGAGAGCCCACTGATCATAATATAATTCATTCGTTTTTGTGACTGTCGCCGGTCAGGCAACCGATGATCATTTTTAAAAAATTCTGACGATTAATTCATCACTTGTATTAATTAATAGTAAACAGTACACTTTTAAATTTACAAAAATAATTTGCTATAATTGCTGCTGGTCCTCATACCACCGATTTTTAAGAACTGTGAATTCAACACCCAATATATGCTTTATCAAACTCCTCATAGAATTTTAAAGTTTCTGCTCTTACAATTAACATAGTGTACCATTACCTGAGCTCTCGAGTGAATCTTGAGTTAAAAAAAAAGCAAACCCAGAAGAAATGAAAGAGTTGAAGGAGTGAATAGGATTGATGAGGTGTACAGAATTCGTTGTCCTCAACTTCCAATTTTCGCTTTCTTTTTTTTTCTCTGTTATTTTTGATTACCTGAAAACAAGTGAGCAGCTATGACAGTGGTCAATTTATACAAATTTTGTTTCGTAATAAATCTTTAATTTGATTTTTACGACCTGAAATTTAAGAGCAAATATAAAAAGCACGATGAAACAAAAATTTCATATAAGTAAAAACTCTTTGAGCAACAAAAAAATTTCTTCAACGCTACAAACGGTTCTGATTTTCTTTCTTAACAACTGTCGTCCATTCTTTTATCGAGCACATAAAATATACTATTACTACTATTCGAGATAACTGTTGAAACTGCAGATAAGAAAAACGGCATGTTTACAGTGTTTGTTTTCCATTGCGGTCATTTTTCTTAGTGCTACAATTTAGTAAACCCACTAACCGTCGTTTTTAACGTCCTTTACTTTAAGTTTAGTATTTTAATTACATTCGTAAACCTTCTTGTTTAGTTAAATCCGCACTTTCAGAATTACAAGCGGTTACTTTAAAAAACCTTCACCAGGATGGTGAACAGTGTACTTGGCCACCAGAAGCAATTACTAACAATACATCCCAGCAAAGGGTTTAATCTGAAACCCCCTAAACTTGCAAATGAAATAGACCTTTAATTGCTAACCACAGAAGTCAGTCCATGTTTTCAAATGTGAAAAAAAAGTGAACACTACAAACAAGATGGCCGAAACTTTTCTCGTGTCAATTTTCTCACCTCTATCGTTTTAAAAACCGTAGTGAAATTTACCCCCGTTTGTTGACCTGCCTCGTGCCATGGTTGTAATTTTTCTCCCCAAACTTCCACTGTATCAAATGTTTGTCAAAAAAACTTTTAGCAGTTTGAGCAGTTAATTGTACTGACTACTTTAATGAAGACATCTAGAATTTTTTGAACGTTTATCAGAATATAGAAGCAGGATCAACGAAAAGATGCGAAGACAATTGGCCGTATGGATTTAAAGCCAAAAAATTAAAATTTCATGGTAACAAGCAGTAAGAATGGAACGATATTGGTGCTCATCAGCACAGTGCGTAAGGTTGGGTTGATAATAGAATATTCCTACCTGACTAGTCTTAACAAAAAGAACTTGGTTTTAAATTTGAATCCTTTCACTGTCTTGTTTGCTTGCAGAGCTGCTGCTTGCTAATATACTTGCAGGGTTGTTCACGCCAAACTGATACTTCTTCTTCCGTATGGATTCGCTTAAATTCCTTCTAACACATTAGTTATCCATTACTTCTGGCTCTGATTTTGTTCCTTTATCAGTGCACTGATTCTGGACTTTTTTTTATTTACAGTCTAGAAAATAGCATTATTCATTCTTTT